TTTTTTATTTTAATTACACAAAGGAAACAAGTATCTCTTATCTTTTACCTCATCATGTTTGCATGTCATTGAATTTAGAATCTCTTTTAATGAAAAGAAATTATCATTAAATTACTTAAGTTATTAATATAAAAAAAAATTGATGTTGATTTATTAAGGTATTTTAATAATTAGTAATTATAATATTGTGATTTCAATTTTATTGTGATAGTGGACTAAATTGTAATTAGATTGGATGTAATAGATCGTGTTAGTCAATTCCTATGGAGTAGATTTGAAAATAAACGAAGTCTATGTAACGGTCAATTCACGGCTTCACGCTCTAGTTCTAGGCGTTACGTTGAGCTTGTTGAACTTTTGGGAGCTCCAACTCGAGCTGAGAGACTTTTGTTTGAAAGTTTATATATAAGCTGGTTTTACTATTGGTTTTTTAGTGTTTTGTATATGGTACAAATAGTAACATTTAAGTACGAACCATTCCACCCAAGAAAAATATGAGAGAAACCTGTTTTATGTGGGATAGAAGTAGAAGAGCCCAGAGCATTTTTGTGATCCAACTTTAAATCTTTAGCAAGTCGATCACTTACACCAATCAAGTAAATTGGTCGAGTGTTTGTTTGCTTTTGTTTTGATTTTTTTTTTTTTTTGAATTTAAAAGGTAACTCAATTGTTTAATTTTAATTGTCTTTATTTTTAATCTAATAAAAAGTTATATAAAAAAAAGGATAGGTTTTTTTTTTTTTCAAATTCTTTCTTACTTGACTTATGATTCTGACTTGATATTTTCAATTTGAAAATTTGACCTCTTAACTAGTTAAGTTAGCTCATTGGCATAGTTAATTTTAATTATCTTACTTTTTAATTTGAGATGTTTAAATTTAATTTTTTATTTTTTATTTTAAGGTATAATTTAATACATTTATTTTTATTTTACTTTAATTTTAAGAAAATGATTACAACATAAATTACAATATGTACGTTTATTTTTTATTTCAATATATCAAAAAATTAGTTATTTGACAGTACATAATTTAAATTATATGTATATTTACTTAAGTAGTGGTTAACTAGATATAAATATAAATCAATTGACTATTACATTTCTACAAAATTAAAAAAAAAATCAATATATTGGAGATGAATAGAAAAAATAATTACTTAGTATTGAAGGAGTTTAAATCTCTGATCTTAACTTTAAATTAAAGATTTTTAATTAATGTGTAACGAAGCTCTTACTGGTGCATGGTCTAAGCGTATGCTTGGTGACTCATATAATCAAGTCTAATGGTCGCCGCTTTAATATGTTGGGGTCTTTCTACATAAGCAATCACGTAATAGTTTTAAAAAGAAGGTTAAAACCCCATTTTGATTCTCAACTATTGTACGGACCCTCGATTTGGTCCTTGAACTAAAAAAATTCCTGATTTGGTCCTTACTGTTTACCATTTTTAATTTTTTACCCCGATTTAGTCCTTCCGTTAAAAATTGATTGACGTGTCCCATTACCTAACGGAAATAGATGACAGCAGGGCAAAAAAAGAATGATATGGCAAAATAAAGAATGACATGGCAAAAAAAAACCTTAAAATATTTCCTTTTTTTTTTCCTTCCATCTTCTTCCTTCCCTTTCATCTTCTTCCTTCCCTTTCGCTTTCTGCAAACCCTAACACCTTCTAACATTAAATCAAAAAATAATACAAACCCAGAATCTCCCCAAACCAGTCACCGC